TCTTATGATTGGTGATCAATTCATCATTTCTTTTCTTACACTTTTTCTCTATCTGCTAGTCACTACTCTTACATGACCTCTATATGATACAGTATTCAATGACTAGGTTCAGCAGCTTTCACCTTTTGTGATTCTGTCTTGTGTATTATACTGTCTCTCTTTGCCTGCTCAGATCACTACAGTGAACAGCTCATTGAAACTAATCTCATTCAATCTCTGAGTGTTCTCAGAGGTCAAGATGGCTTAGTCTCACACATCTGTGAATGTTTCAGATAGTTCATCCTCTGTGATCTTTATGATTGAACTGACATAAACAGTTGAATTCAACTCTGAATTCCTTTTTCTTCTGTGATCTGACTCACATGCAAGTCTGTCACTTTGAGACTGCTCTTTGCCATGTTGCGCCTGCTGTCTGCAGCATGTTATTATATAACTGGCTACAGTCTTATCACTTATTGAAGTGTGACATTTGCCTGATTTCTTCATTTCTTCTCATTCTTTTCTTATAATCATGGAAAGATTGGAATAAGTGAGATCATCTGGTTCATAAGTGTCTATGATTTCTCTTACTTCACAAGGCTTTTCAATTATAAGTCTCTTCTTTTTCAATGCTGATAATAGTGCTGTGAATAATCATAATTCACTCAGGTCTTGTATCTTTACTTCTACAAGTTGTGAATCATTGATTAAGTTGCATAAGACTCATCCCTCTAGTTCTTCCAATGCATACATTCTCAGAGAATGTGATTTGAGTATCTTATATAGCTCAAACCATCTAGGTTGGAACTTCTCAGAACTCTCATTGTGTATGAGAACTCATGTTCTCATCTTGAGACTTAATTCCTTAACAAGTGAGTCTCATATTCTTTTTGATTGGATTGCTCAGTTCAGAAGTAACTCATTAGCTTTTGCGCGTGCATAGCTGATCTCTTTCAATCTTGGTTCCATGTCCGCGACTGTTGTGTCCACAACTGCTGTTTCTGCTGCATCTGCAACTGTTGTTCCTGCTGTGTCCGCAACTGCTCTCTTTCTCACCTTTTCCGAAGCATTCTCTGAGATGCGCGGATGCAATCCATACAACAGGTAGAATGGTGAATGCTTGGAGACTGCATGCTGTCAAATCCATGTGGTCAACAGCGCCTGCCTGAGATATTCATCTCATAGTCTCATAGGCTTGCCCACTAGATATTTTGTCAGCATGTTGCCCAAGATTTCATTCAAGTGTTCCACCTTCCTGTTCATCCGCGGATGATATGATGTTGTTCTACAATGTCTTGTCTGTAACTGGCTCATGAAATGCCTCATCACTCCTCTCACAAGGTTTGCACTGTTATCAGTTAGGATCTCGCATGGCATTCCATAGTTGACATAGATCTCATTGTGTAGAAACTTCACTATCATCTCCTCTGTTGCCTCTGGAACTGCTTTCACAACTGACCAGTCAGTAGTGTAATCAATAGCAGTGATTATTCATCAATTTTCATTTGATGTTCACAGCAATATGTCTATGAGATTCACTCTTCATTGTTCAAATGATTGTATTGTACATTTCATCTGATGTTGTGCTTTCTTATGTTTCAACCCTTTCTTAGATTCTTTCACAACCTGGCAATTCAGGCACTTGTGAGTGTACACCTGAATGTCCTCAGCCATGCTTGGCCAGTACACTCTTGATTTGAGTACACTCATGAGTTCAGGGCTTTCTAAGTGGCTGAATTCCTTGTGCATGTGAGTCATCAAGTTGTGACAAAATAAAGATTCTAGATAGAGAGCTTCTGCATATTCTAGATCACAGTAAAGCACAATGTTGTTTTTCAATTTTCTCAGCTTGAAGTTCAGAAGCATCTCTTCTACTACTTTCACAAGATGCTTATCATCTGACATCTTGTCATTCTTCAAGCAAGAGATCATGGTGTTCACTCATTCTGATTCCTTGCATCTCCTCAGTGTGTTTAACATAAATATCCCTTGTGCCTGGTTCGCAGGACTCTCATCCATGAAATTGAGTCTGTGACTGATTGCATCCAGCACCACTGTATCTGATCCCTTTCAGTATTTGATATGAAGATTGTACACTTGAAACTTCAAGATTCAACATGCTAAATGTTTGGAAGGTTTTGTTGTTGATTGTAGATAGACAAGGCTTTCATGATTCATGATCATCATTATTATATGCCTGTTGTCAATATATCTATCCCACAACACCAGCGTGTGCTTGATCACTAGCAATTTCTTTTCATGCACTGAGTAATTGAGCTCAGCACTCAATAGTTTCCTACCATCATATATCATCAGATGCAGCTTGTCATCCTTGCCCATCTGTAGAAGAGTGTCTCTGATAGCCCATTTGAATACATTCATCTCAATGTAGAAAGGTTTATCATGATCTGATTGAATAAGCACTGAGAATGTTGTTACACATTCTCTCAGTGTGAGAAAAGCCTCTTCACACACAGTATTTCAGATAATTGAATGAAACTTCTTCTTTCACAGATTTGCATTCATTTCTCTTAAGAGATCTGAGAGTGATGCAGATATTTGTGTGAAATTCTTGATGAACCTGCAGTAATATGAGGCCAACTCAAGAAACTGTCATACATGATATACATTTCTTGGCCATGGTCAATTCACTATGACATTCAATTTCTCCAGGATGAGATGTATACAGTCATCACTCACTACATGTCTCATGAACTTCAACTCTTTCATTTCAAACACACACTTGATTGATTTGATGTAGAGCTTATACTCTGTCAGAGTTGTAAGCACTTCATTGAGATGCTTCAGATGTTCATTGTATGAGTTTGAAAAGACTAGGATGTCATTGAGATATATGAGGTATGAGGTTTCATTCTGTTTATGAAGAATTGTATTCATCATCATTTGAAAGATGACAGGCACATTTGTCAGACTGAATAACATTGCTAGAAATTCAAACTTCTCTCATTGCATATTAAACATGGTTCACAGAACTGACAGTTCATCTATGCAGATCTGCCAGTATCCTGAGAGAAGATTGATCTTTGATAGATATTAAGTGTTTCTAACTGTATTCAACTGTTGTTGAATCTGTGACAGTGAATATTCATTCTTGATTGTAAGCTTGTTGAGTGCTCAATAATTGATACACATCTGTCACTCCTCATCTGCCTTTTTCATGAATAGGACTGGAAAGCCCCACGCGCTTGATGAGGGTTGTATGAGACCATGTTCTAGAAGGTCAGTGATCTGACACTTCTGTTCTTCAAGATGTGTTTGTGACAGAGAGTATGTGTTCTGGTTGACTGGTTTTGCATTCTCTGTGTCAATCTCATGTATGAATCCTCATTTCAGTGGCAATTCTGATGAAAGATCTGTTTGAAAGACCTTCCCATACTTCTTCAGAAGCTTCTTCATACACTTATCCTCCTGCATATCTTTTATCTTAGTTTCCTCCACTTCCAGGTCCTGTATGACATACAGGATGCTTTTGAATGAGGTCTTGCGAATTGTTCTCTTTGCTTGTTGATGTGTAAGCAGATTTAACCCTTCTATACCAGGGGCGTGGAATGTCCTTCTCATATCAGTTGATAGGATTGTATGAACCATTTTCTTCCTATCAGTCAACTGCATATGGCATGTACACCATTGGATCTGCAGGTTGAACCTTTGGAATCAATCAAGTCTGAGAATAAGGTTGTATTTCACATTCTGCAGCTCTCGCGCCCAAATATAGCAAGATCATTCTCCAAAGTGCAAGGGAACTCTTACTCTTGCAGGTGATATCAAATATTGATTATCAGGTAATCTTATGTGTCAGAGATTCTTCACTCAGCAGACCTCTTTCAATCTTCAGATCATATGATCATCAATATATTGTGTAGAAGCTTCTGTATCTGCTAACACTTTTGCAGCCACCTCTCAATTCTTACCCAAGTGTCCTCTATACATTAACATTTCGGGCCCCAAGACATTGAGATGAGTGTCCACTTCATCATCCTCACCCGCACCCCATTCAGGAGCCTGCTTCTTCTTTGTATTCACAGGATTCAGAGAGTCATCTAACACGGGCATCTCTTTCACTTTGAAGGCTTTTCATAGGATATCAGTGAGTGCCTCTGAGCTCACTGATTCTGTTAGTTTTTTGACTCTCTTGCTTCTCTTGACTGTGCACACTGGGTGCAATCTTTTGCATCATGATTTTAGCATCCGCAGTTGAAGCAAGCTTGATGCTCACAACACCAAGGTTTTCACCCAGGGAATTCCTTTTTCAGGGGATTCAGTGCTTTAGTGATGGCATTCAGATCTAGATTCATCATGTCTGAGTGTGTGACTTGTGTTGTAGAAGTCTGATTATCTGTTCTCTGCTGAGGCATACTTGATTGCAGTATTTTCTGTCACAATTGACTTGCTTGTTTCTGTATGATGAGGATGTTGTATGCTTCCTTCACTGTGTCTGGCTGTGAGATTAAGCATTTCCATTCCACTCTTAACTCAGGTGTAAGATCATGAATGAAGATCTGTAAACAGAAAGATGTTGAAAGCTCTTCATTCAATGTGAGATAGTGTAAGCTGAAGTGTGTGAAGTACAATGTAAGATCACCTACTTGTCTACACTCAGTGAAGTATTCATAATGCTTGTCTTACATGTTCACTTCCTCAAAGTTGTGTAAGATTCACTTGAAAAACTCATTTCATGTTCATGAGAATGAATATTGCTCTGAGTCTGCAAGGTTCATCTTTTCATCAGTTATTCATAATGACTTCACTTTTTCACATAGAAACATAGCAGATCTTAAGACTTGTTGAAATTCTGTTGACTATCTGTCTGTGAGTTCACATTCAATCTGATAATATGATTGCATCTGACTTAGTCAGCTGATTGCAGCATCATTTTCTCAGTTGTCATTGAAGCTTGATGACTTTGGCAGATCTTCTGACTTGATATATCTCATGCTCAGATTCTCATCCTGCACAGCAGTCTCTGATGGTGTGTACACTCCTGAAGAGGTTGTGAATGATTATGATGGGACCTCCAGGTTCAGCATAGTCACCTGTCTGCATAAACATTCAATCTCCTGCTGCAGGCCTAAGATCTGGTTTTCTCTATCCTTATTGATGATGGCAATTGCGTCGGCGAAGCTCTTCATAGTGGATGCTTGGTTCACAGTGAATGTCAATTGTTGTTTGGCCTCCACCTCGGCCTGCCACTGTGTATGCAAGGCCTTGATTTCATTTAGAATCCTTGTACGCGTACGGAGCTTCAATTCCAGTTCAGCTGTCTCAGCCGCTTTTCTTACTGCTTCGAGTAATCCCTCTGGGAGGTTCTGCATACCTTCCGGTTCAGGTAGCAGAGAAGGGTGTTGTTCATATCGGCTAGGGGAGGTATCCATTTCGGTGGTTTCTCGTTGATCGTATGATGTCTATCGTTATCGCTGTATCGTTATATCGCTATATCGTTATATCGCTATATCGCTCTGTTATCATCGTACGACTCCGGTGGTGGCCACCCCCCCTTTTATCCTTCTTTTGGGTAGGGAGCGGACTCCTTTGAATCTGGTTCACCGCTCCCATCCCTTTTCTCACACCTCATCCGTTCGCATACGTGGCATTCGCCTGGGTGTGGAGTTTTCCCCCAACAAGTGAAGCAGCAGTATCAATCAGATGCTCTTCCACTCACCGCCCTTCGTACGCTATCTTTTGAGGCGTTCTAGGACCACTCTGGCATGATAACTATGAATCACTTCATAGGCAGAATTATCACGCCCTGGAGGAGCCTGCGCTCCTCACCGGTTTTTAGACATACTACCAGATGTGATTCAAAGGTTGCTTAAGCCAGCGTACGATTACAGGCGTACGCCGGCTTCTTATATTGTAATCTTGTACGCTAAATTAATTAGCGTACGCTATGGCCCCTTTACACGCGTACGCTAGTAGTTCGGAAGCGGCCGCGTTATTATCCGACGGTCGTACGTTCTTCCGAATCACACTCTCTCAGCTCTGTCACTGTATCTGATCTTCAGATCAGTAGCTCACTTCATCTCTTCTTCAGATCAGTTTCTAGCTTCAAGCAGTGTAGTCTCTCTCTTTACTGTAAGTCTTTTTACAAGTAATTTCTTACAGACTCTAGCTGATAGTTCTTATAAAGCTTCTGATATTATCAGTGTCTTCTGCAGTCTCACAGACCTACAATCACTTTCTCTCTATCTGCACAATCTCTGATCAGGTATATATGAATATGCCTAGATTTTCTATCAATGATTCTCACACTGTGGTGCATTTCTACAATCTCATTGTTAATAAGAGATGAGTTTCTGAGTATCTGTAAAATCTGAGTAATCAAGACAATATGAATGTTATGAATTCACAATAAGAGTTAATCTGAACAGATGAGCTCTCTCTCTGTGTCTCAATTGTTTCTGAGCTGAATACTTCAGCACAACTAAGAGAGTGAATATAGCTTCATAAGAAGTATCTAATCACACACACAGATGATCAGTTTCTAAGATTCTGTCACAACTGCATGTACTCTGATATCTGACTTCTCTGAAGTCTATGCATTTCTGATAATCTTCACATCAAATGCAACAATTGTCTGTATCACAGACATGATACTCTCTGCTTCTTTGAAGAGAAAAATTAATAGTTGTGAAGAAATTGAGTGTTACAGATATTGAGAATGTGAATTTAAGTTTTCTTTATTTTTTCTTTATTAATCTTCAAACTATGTTCACAGCTCTGTTTATTTTCTTGTTTTTTAGCTTAATAAGAATATGATTTCTTCTTCTCTTGTGTATGTCACAGACTGTTCATCTCAGTAGAAACTCATCATCTTATAGACTAGAGTTTATAAATAACAGTGTTAATATCTTTATTACAATCAGATTCTTAGTGAAGACTGTATCATTCTGACTTATCAGAATTCACAGTATAAAAGTCATGTCTCAGCTTCTACAGATATCTTATCTGCTCAGATGATTCTTAAGTGAACTTATTCATCTTATCAGAATACTCTTATCACTGAATCTTGAATCAGAGCTTATAATCTCACTTCTCTAAGTTAATAATCTCTTTGACCTGATATTCTCTTTCACTCTCTAGTACTTTGTAGACAGAGTGATGAGTCACAGAATTCTCTTCTAAGAATTTCTTATATTTACAGAGTAAAGAGATATGAAAAACATTGTACATCTGCAACTCAGATAACAGTTTCAATCTATAGAACTGTGAGCTAACTTTCTTTATAATCTTACAAGACTCTGTCTGTAAGAGATTCAGCTTCTTACTAGATCTTCATATGATAATATTTTCTAGACTTAGTCAGACTCTATCATCTTTCTTGAAACTCTTTATAATATGCTTAAAGTCATAGTATCTCTTCTAATACTCTTGAGTCTTTCTCAAGAATTTATGAGCTTTCTCTCAGATCTTCTGAATTCTCTCAGCTTATTCACAGACATTATCACACTCTATAGTGTACTCTTACAGGTTCATCAAGATCATCTGCAGATAAGTCTCAGTGAGTATCTCAAAGAGGGTTTTATCTGTGCTGACATGCTTTGAATTGTTGTACACAAACTTTATAAGTGATAATTAATACACTCAGTCATTCTAATTATAATTGACAAAGCACTATAGATACTGTTTCAATATACTCATCAGACATTCTATCTGATCATCTGTCTGTTGATGAAAAGTCATACTTAGATCTTACAAGATCTTCAGTATAGTTATCAGATCAGACTAGAACTCTTCTACAAAGATTGATTCTCTATCTGAGACAATGTTCACAGACAATCTATGCAACTGAATCATATCACAGACAAAGATATGAGTCAAATTCTTTGACTTCAAGTTCTTGTGAGTGAGTATAAAGTATGTTATCTTAGTGAAGTGATTCACTATCATCAGCACACTGTCAAAGCAGGCATTATATATGTTCTTACTTTCAGAGAGACTCATAAGAGCATTCATTTCTAGCTGTTCTCAAGATTCTCATGAGATGAGTAGAGAAGTAAGTTCTTTATATGATCTGAATCACACTATTCACAAACTCTGATAAACAGTATAAGAATTCACTATCTTCTTCACAAGTTCTCACATCTTCAGTCAGAAGTATTTTCTTACAAGCAACTCATGAGTTCTAGTATCTGTAAAATAACTCACTAGAGAAGAGTCATGATATCTTTTAATAAGTTCTATATATAGAAACTTATTTATAAGTACATAAATCTGACTCTCTCTTTATAAGAGATTATTTAAGTCTCTTCAACTCTTTATTTCTGCAGGGTTGATCTCTGCTGTAAGCAGTTTCTGAATATACTGAGTATATTCATTCTTCAGTTGCAGTTCAGACAATCTGAATAGAAGATCTTACAAAGACTTATACTCTGTTTCTTCTTGCATCAGGTCTTTCACAGTGCTTCTTAAAGCCTGCAAATTCTTCAGATTATAGATACTCTCTTCAAGGATTCTCACAGAGATTCTCAGAGTGTTGACTCTCAGTGTTATAGAGAGTAGTTATGCAGACTTCTTCTCTCTCTCTTTCTTCTTCTCTTACAGGGAATTGAGAGACTCTTCAGTCAATCTCTTTATAACACTCAGTCTGAGCATTCTGTGAAGCTTTTCTGTCTTCTCTAGTCTCTCTATATCTGTCATTCTGACCTTCTTAACATAGTCTGATCTGTGAGAGAGTCTGTCTGCTGAGTTCTTAGTTTTCTTGATATATTCTATCTTGAACTAGAACTCACTCAGTCTCTGAACTCAGTAAATCTATCACTGTGAGAGTTTCTTAATTGAAGTAAACTATTACAAGCTGTCATGATCAGTTCTAACAGTAATCACTATCATGAGATTCTTGAAGTAGTGATATCAGTGATGAAAGAATTTCACTATCATAAGAAGCTTCTGATCATGAATACTATAGTTGATCTCTGCAGGTTACATCTTTCATAAGAAAAAGATCACTGAAACTCAGTTCTCATTTGACTGTAGTTGTAAGACTATTTCTAAAATTGCAAAGAAGAAGACATCTGTCTTCAATCTAGTTAAGAGTAAGAGATCAAAGTGAAACAGTATCACTATATCTGTAAATGTCTATTTCAATCTTACAAAGACTCTGCAAGCTTCTGAAGTAAGAAAGTTCTTACAGTTCTCTCTTCTCAACAATCTTTTCATTCTTCATTTATAAGATGACTTCTTCTTGTTTTCACTCTTCAGCATGTCTGTAAGAGTCAAGAAGATTCTTGTGAATGCAAAGATAAACTATCTATAGAAATTTACAAAGCTCAGAAAGATCTGAATCTTATGAATACTAGTTGACTTCAGCTATGATAGAATAGTCTTAATCTGTGAAGATTTCATCTGAATATCATCTGCAGTGATTACATATTCTAGAAAATTAATCTGATAAGCACTGAAGTTGTACTTTGCAAGCTTAATATACAGTTCTGTCTCATCTAAGATCTTTAACATACTTTGTATATACTCAGTGTGTTCTTTCTTCTTCATGAAGTACATCATCACATTATTCAGATATATTATCACAAAGACATTCAGATATGTATGAAGTGTTTTATTAATGAAAGACTGAAATGCCACAGGGGTATTAATCAGATCAAAAGACATCACTAGATATTCAAACAATCTCAGTACAGTTCTAAAGACAGTCTTTCATTCATTCTCAGACTGTATTCACAGCTGTGTATATATATTGATCACATTCAGTTGTGTGAATATAACAGCTCTCATGAGACAGTTAATCACATTCTTAATCAGAGATAGAGAGTAGTGACTCTTTATTATCTTGAAGTTCAGATTATGATAGTTTACATATAATCTGAGACCTTCATTCTTCTTCTTTATAAATATCACAGAGGCTCTCACAGAGGTCTGTAAAGATCAGATGAAGTCATTCTTCAGATTCTTCTTCACATAGATTCACAAGACCTCTGTCTCATAATAAGAGAGCTTATAGATTGATTCTTAGAAGAGTTTCTACTCTTCTATCAAATCTATTATCAGATTCTTCTCATAGTGAGAAGGAAGCTCAGCTGTCTTAACTGAGCTGAACATCTCTGTGAGATCTCAGTATTTCTCTGATATCTAAAGCTCAGTTTTCATGATCATAAGATTCTCAGACACTTGCAAAGTTATTACATAGATGAGCTTGTCTTCTCTAATCAACTCTACAGCATCAACTGCTTCTATCTCTGTGAGTGAGTCTGTTAACACTGATTGAAAGTATAAATCTGACTTATGAACAGCTATGTGCGGATTGTGTCTTTGAAGTCATACAAGTCTTAAATACATGTTATCTGTGATGTCTGTAACAATCACAGTTTCTGTAAATCTTCTCCAGATTTCAGAGAGATCTTGCAATTCAAAGATAGCT